GTGCTGCAGGGCATCCCCTACCAGCCCAAGGTGTATGACATCTGGAGCCTGGGCGTGATCCTCTACATCATGGTCTGTGGCTCCATGCCCTATGATGACTCCAACATCAAGAAGATGCTGCGCATCCAGAAGGAGCACCGTGTCAATTTCCCCCGCTCCAAGCACCTGACAGGCGAGTGCAAGGACCTCATCTACCGCATGCTCCAGCCGGACGTCAACCGGCGGCTGCATATCGACGAGATCCTCAGTCACTGCTGGGTGCAGCCCAAGGCACGGAGCCTGTCCTCTGCAGTCATCAACAAGGAGGGGGAGAGTTCCCGGGCCACTGAGCCCACTGAGCCTGGCTCTGACAAGAAGTCTGCCACCAAACTGGAGCCCCGGGAAGAACCACGGCCCGAGGCACAGCCAGAGACAAAATCTGAGCAGGAACCATTGCAAATGCAAGTGCTAAGGCCATCTGAGACCAAGGGTCTTGTTGAAGAGCAGCCACCAAACAAGGAGACAGGTGGCGACTCCCTGGAGCCTCCACAGCCGCATACCTAGCACACCTAGTGAGCCTCTTGTGGCCCAGGGGGCCAGCAGGCAATTAGGTAGAGTTCACCATGAGCTCTGAAGAAGTCAAGGGGCAAGCCAGAGAAAGAAGACAGTCTCGGTAGAGCCGCTATTTTCATCAGTTTCTTCTCCCTCCCTTTGAACTTTGGTAACCCACATGGCTAAAGAAGCAATAAATCACTATATTAGTGCAGCCCCCAAGGTGAATGTCTTTGCCCAGAGTTGATGGCCCTCATTTACCCAGGGTGAGGGTCCTGCACTCCTCCCAGTTTCCCCACATCTGATTGGGGCAATGTGTCCCGCTGTGCCAATCCCTGTCTATGACCTCAGGTCCTGGACCAGAGCAGTAGGCCAAGCGAGGATATAGCTTCCAGAGGCCCATGAGAGCTGTGCTCGAGGGGAAGGGACAAGGAGAGGAAGCCAATAATCCCTGGCTGCCTGCAGAGGGGCAAGGGGTAGGGTTCCTCCCATTGGGAGATCAGGCTTCCCCTAAATAGAGGCCGAGGTCTAGCCCCTCAATATCCCAGCACCTCAGCAGCCCCAACAAGGCTGCTGGTGTGGAGAAAGGCTGCAAAGAGCAGATGAGTTAGTGTTTCTCAGTCTTTCTCAAATTCCCAACTTAGAGGACAGCTCATTTTTTCTGGTTAGTCCATCATGGTTTTCCCACTCTCTTCAGTTACACTCGATTCTCAGTGGCACCCCAGGTTATTCCACCGACTGGTCACTCCCCTGGTCTAAAAGAAGCAGGGAACTCTGCTGGATGATGCATCCACAGCCCGGCCACTGTGGCCTTCACCACTTCCCATTCCCCTCAAGTCCCAGTCTGTTCCAAAGGGTGACAGTCCCTGCCAGAACAGAGAAGCTGACTCTGGTGGGGAGGAGGTCCCAATGCATGCCTGGCCTCAGCAGTCACTGCTCTTCCGCATTTAGCAACACTGGTTTGCCTCATAGTTCTGTCCCTGCCACTTCTAAGCAGTCCTCACCTGGGCTTTGGGGGCCCCTTTCTCTTCTCCCTCTGAACTCACTCTGAGCAACCTCATGTAAGCCTACAAGTTTAACACATCAAGAGGACAAGAGTCTTCAGATTCCCCTCTCCAGTCCTGTCCATGTCTCTTGTCTTGAGAAGACCCTAATCCTCAGTCTCCTGGCAGAAGTGAGGTGGAGGATGTGCCCATGCCTGCCATCCCCTCTCCACTCCCAGTCCACCCCTCTTGTCTGGCTCCTCCCTCTCCCTGCAGTCACTTTCACACAGCTGTGCTCTCCCATCTCTACATCCCTGTGTGTCATACACAGTGCCACCAAGCTTCAGTCCCTGTCCTACTACCTCCCAGAGTGGCTGATTGGGCCCCCTTTAGGTCCTCCAGGTCTAGTCTTCTGATCTCCCGGCACCCTCCCTCAGCCTTACTCCTCAGAAAAACATGCCATAATCATTCTTTTGGACGTATCCTACAGACCTTGCCCATTTCAGATGAGAAGTCATGGCCTCTAGAGACTACTGGGAGCTCCTAAAGTTACTTGTAATCTGCCATTGTAAGCATGAATGTCCAGGGTCTGGGCAAAGAAGAGGCCCTATGTAACACCGGAGGTATCATGCAAGTTTTCCAGTGCAGAAACAGGTCTCGGAAGAGTCATCTCATTCCTCTGGGGGTAGAGCAGAATCCTAGTTAAGTAGGGAGGTCATGAGGAAGGCTCACAACCCTCTCCTGACTCCCACACACCCTTGGGTCATCTCAGCAGCATGGTGTAGTGCTCAGGACAGTGGATGTTAAGAGGGCCTGGGAGTGATCAATGCAGTAATGGGTGTGTAGAAGGGGGTCCCAGGAAGGAGCACCTGTGTGTGCTTATTAATAGGTAGCTAGGAGAAGTTGATGGACTGACTGCCTGGAATCACTCAGTCCAGGTGACTGATACCAACTCCTCTCCATGTGGTCTCGTGTTCCAGGTCACTCCTATGAGCTATTCAACCCACTGTGCTTGGCCCTGGCCCAGACCCCTTCAGTGTCCACCCTCACCCCCCAAGTCTGTTAGGAAAAGACCCTCACAGTGACCTTCCTGGTCTTCCTGGCTCCCTCTCACCCCGCTGTCTCACCACTGTCATTTCAGGCTGTCAGACACACTAGCAGTCCTCACCCTCCTCATGGGGCTGACTCCTTAGCTGAGTCTTCCCAGTTTCCCCAGGGCCAGTCTCTGATTTTGTCCACACAGCTGCGTGTTCCTTGAGGCACAGTTCCTAGATATTCACATGATTGGTATAGCTTCAGGGCTACAGGAAACCCTGGGTCCTGTGTACTTTATTCAATGTTCCCTAGCACCTGGAATGGACCCACAGATACCCCTGGGGTGAATGGGTAAACAGGCACCCACTTTATGAGGAAACCAAAGACAAGGGCCTTCTTCATCCGCACAACTCCATCCCACAAAAAAACCCTGAGGGTTCCCACAACCAGTCTAATGCTCCCCATGCTCCTCCCAACACACCAGCAGCCCTGGCCTCTGTGTGCACATCTCTGTGTGCCACATGCTTCACACCCAGCAGCTACACTTGTGTGGTGCTGCAACCTCCCTCCTCCATTGAGTCACCCAAGGACAAGAGAGGTCGCACTGCCCTGGGAAAGGACAGGATGTAAGGGAACAGAATCCACAAAAAAAGGAAGGGGGGGTTGGTAGAATTTGCCAAGAAAGCGGGCAAGCAGGGGGAACCCTAAATGTGGTGTTTGGAGGCACAGGAGAAAGAATGGCATCATGTTTATGGGTCCTGGCCTGCAAACCCTCACAGCCAAAAGGAGTGAGATTCCAGTGATTTTGGCAAAAGGAACTGACATTGAGCTAAGCTATTACAAGATCCCCTGTTCTGTCCCCACAGCTGCATGTTCCTCTAGACAGTCACCTCAGGAAGGTCTTGACTGCTAAAGGGAAGATTATGTGGGCTTACCCTACTCCACCAATCACTCCTGCCTGGCATCTAGACTCTGGCTGTCCTGTCCAGATGGACCCTCAGTCAGAGCTCCCCAGGCCCACAAGGTGTGTCCTGAGTCCAGGCCCTGGCCAAAACTTCCAACCTTCCTGGCACGTCTAGTCCCTCATCTACCTGGAGAAGCGCTGTTGCTCACTGCACTCTGACTCTGAACACGAGTGCACAGCACGCCTTTCCTGGTAAGTTGCACATTTGGGTGCAGAATGCTCATGATGGAACAAGTAAACAGCAGGGCTTCTAGGGTCCAAGCAAGCATACTGGATGGTAGGTTTTCCATGGCAGAAATATGTATACGCACCCTGAAAAAGGATTTTCACGTTGTTTCCAGGTGCAAAACTGTATGAGAAATGTGAACAACATGCTATCCCCTGGATTCCAACAGGCCACAACACACCTGCTCTTCACAAAGGTGCAGCTACACAATTCAGGATCCCTTGCTCACCCAGGTCTTGCTCTTAATAGTTAATGCTCTAAGTACTGCTGGGACCCCAGTATCAAGGCTCCACCCAACTACACCAACTTGATGTACAGCTCATGAAATCCTGCTTTCTCCCTCTGCCACTCGATCTCCACAGGTCCAGCTTCCTCTTGCCTGATCAACAGCATAGGCCTATGCTCACCCAAAGCCCTTCTTTGTGCACTGAGCAAGGGATCATCTGAAAATGACATGAGTCATGGCTTCAACTGCCCTGGGTCCTGCCATGACTGCCCATCACTCAGGGAGAAGCCCCCATTTACGCTCCACTTCCCTCCAGACTGTGGCCATTTTCATTACAAGCCCTCTCCTACCTGGATGCCTCACCACCTCCTCTCCTTGGCTGGAACACATTTCACCCTTCAGGGTGGTCCCAACACCCAGAACACACACCTGCCTGCTGGGCCCCAGGGTCCTCTGCTGAGCCCTGACTCAATCCCAGCCCCTGTCTGTTCACCCCAGCCACAGTGGCAGCACTCATTCAAACAGCTCCCTACCCCAACCCAGATCTGCTCTGTTCCACCAGGCTTGGAACTACCACTGGCCTGGTAAGAGCAGAGTACTCCCTCCTAGGCAGCTGAGTTCCGAGGACACACGCCCTAGCAGGGGTTGTCTTCATGCCCCAAAGAAATTGCAGGAAATTGGCCCTAGTGGGACAAGGACCAATGCAGGCTCAATCTCCAATGCCAGGAGAGGGAACTAGTTACAGGGTTGGCACTCTGGCCGGAGCTGGGCAGTCTCCCCAAGGCCTGAATTATGACAGGGAAGCCACTGTGAGGAGGACCAAGGAGGGTTACCACAGTTCCTGGGTGCTGGCAGCTTCCTTCCAGTAGGCAGGGTGTGGGCACTCCTGCCAAGCCAGCCTGGTTTCCAGGGTTCTAGGGGCCCTGTTACCCCCAGCCAAGTCCCCACTCCCTGCAGCCTGGCTTTATGACTTCACATGCTGAAGTCACGCAGAGACAATGCTGAGCGTTCCACCCCTCCAAGTCCAGGCCCAGCCCAACCCAGCCAGACGGCTCCCCACAGTGTAAATGAGGACGATGCCCACTGGCCCACGTGGGGAGGGGATGTAGAGGGCAGCGGCGCCGGCCGCTCCTGGCACCATGGACGATGCCGCGGTCCTAAGGAAGAAGGGTTACATCGTGGGCATCAATCTTGGCAAGGGCTCCTACGCAAAAGTCAAATCTGCCTACTCAGAGCGCCTCAAGTTCAATGTGGCAGTCAAGATCATCGACCGCAAGAAAACACCCACTGACTTTGTGGAGAGATTCCTTCCTCGGGAGATGGATATCCTAGCAACTGTCAACCACCGCTCCATCATCAAGACCTATGAGATCTTCGAGACATCTGACGGGCGCATCTACATCGTCATGGAGCTTGGGGTCCAGGGTGACCTCCTGGAGTTTATCAAGTGCCGGGGAGCCCTGCATGAGGATGTGGCGCGCAAGATGTTTCGCCAGCTCTCCTCTGCTGTCAAGTACTGCCACGATCTAGACGTCGTCCACCGAGACCTCAAGTGCGAGAACCTTCTCCTTGATAAGGACTTCAACATCAAGTTGTCTGACTTCGGCTTCTCCAAGCGCTGCCTGCGGGATGGCAGCGGGCGCATCACCCTCAGCAAGACCTTCTGTGGGTCAGCAGCATACGCGGCCCCTGAGGTGCTGCAGGGCATCCCCTACCAGCCCAAGGTGTATGACATCTGGAGCCTGGGCGTGATCCTCTACATCATGGTCTGTGGCTCCATGCCCTATGACGACTCTGACATCAAGAAGATGCTGCGCATCCAGAAGGAGCACCGTGTGGACTTCCCCCGCTCCAAGAACCTGACAGGCGAATGCAAGGACCTCATCTACCGCATCCTACAGCCGGACGTCAACCGGCGGCTGCACATCGATGAGATCCTCAGCCACTCGTGGCTGCAGCCCCCTAAGCCCAAAGCCATGTCTTCTGCATCCTTCAAGAGGGAGGGTGAGGGCAAGTACCGAGCTGAGTGCAAACTGGACACTAGGCCAGGCTCTCGGCCTGAGCACCGGCCCGATCACAAGCTGGGAGCCAAAACCCAGCACCGGCTGCTGGTAGTGCCTGAAAATGAGGACAGGATGGAGGACAGGCTGGCCGAGACCTCCAGGGCAAAAGATCATCACATCCCTGGAACCGAGGTGGGGAAAGCGAGCACTTAGCGTGCAGAGGGCCCCAGGGGTGTGGTGCACAGTGCGCCCACGTAAACTAGTAGGCAGGTAGGAGCTGAAGAAGGCACAGGTGCAAGGCACAAGTAAAATCCGTCAATTAAACCACTATTTTGATTACGTTCTATTAGCTTTCTTCCTCGTAGTAGCAAAGACGTTACTTACTGACCACCAAATAAACCACAAAGTGTATGCAAGCATCCAGAGTGCCCCTTGAGAAGTCTTTTTCTCTAGGACGCAGCCAACCACACTCCTCCCTGCGGCGCACAGAGGCCCCCAGTTTGGTGGTGCAGGGCCAGGACTCATAAGGCCTTATGGGCATAGAGGACAGTGCTGCCATAGCCCACCTGCCAGGCCCTACTCTGGTCTCCTTTGATCTGCCCATGGCTAGCTCCACAGGGCTGGCCAGGTGCACTGCCTTCAGTGCAGTACAACCTGACCCACTCATGCTCCTCAAACAGTCCCCCTTTCTCTGTGTGTGCTCTCTCCATTCCAAAGCAGCCCCAGCCCAGACCTTTCGTTATACCCACCACCTCCTGTTTACCCTTCCAGGCAGCCTTCCCTGTTGTCACCTGTCATCCTCCAGGGCGATCTCTACCTGCCAATCAAGCTACTGAAGCACCTGGTTTTAGGTGCCCTTGACTGGAGAGCATCCCCTTCTGGATCTCACACCCATCAAGCCTCTGACTCCCCACTTCCTGGAGGCTCCCTTGGGAGCCAAGTAGTGTACACTTGTCTATAGAAAAAGCACCAAAGACACACTTTGTTGACCTTGGGTAGTCCCAGCTGGGTCAAAGCTCACCTGCTGGGCCAGCCCTGGCCCCTTTGGTGAGTAGCAAAGCTCAGGACTGCCCCCATGTGAGAAGCTCATAGGCCCAGGTAGGTGACTGGCCTACACCTGCCTGCAGAGAATGCCCACAGGGAAAGATGCAGGAGGACTGAGGGCTGGGCCTAAAGGGCTGGGCATGCTCTGAGCAGGTAGAACTTTGGTCTAGGGACATTCCAAGATGCTACTCTGAGCAGGGCAACCCCCAGAGTGCATAACTCAGTCCCAGCAGGGGCCTGAAAAGACTGGTTTGGGAGCCAGCTGTGCTCAGAGAACAGGGCTCTCTACCGGTGTGTACAGTGGCTCGTTCTGGGCCTCCTGGAGGTCAGCACCTACACCATAGGTCCTATAGATAAGTGTCAGCCTATGGCATGCACAGCACTCCTGGATCTACATATTACTCATGAGTATTATCACCAGGAAACCATACAGGCTAGGTTGACCTTGGCTAGGCTAGTCTTGGGCCCAGAGCCTTAGGTGAACCTCAGGGGCACAACTTCCAAGGTTATGTTCACCACCCCTACCCCCCTACCCCCACCCCGCCCCTTAGGAGACTGGGTGGGACTTGAGAAGAGGCAACCCAAGTGCACTCAGTTCAGAAGACAAATATCAAGGCCCAGGAAGCAACGCAGGTAGTGGTAGGAAAGGCCATCCAACCTGGCTCTCCAACGGTCTGCTCTTCAGCAGCTTTCCCCCTGGGAAGGTGCATTCTTGAGATGGTGATGCAAATATGAGGGCAGCCTCGGGGCAGTACAGGCAGCAGGATGGAGAAGAGGCCCTGCCAAACTGTGCCAAGTGCTTTTTAATGACACTTAAATAGAAACAGTGGGGAGGGGGCATCAATAGAAAACAGTATCAGCAAGGCCCTGGGATGCACCCCAAGGACCAAGTGGGTATGTCCCGTGCCAGCCTAGCTAGCACAGTATCTTCCTTCTGTGGCTCCTAGGAAAGGCAAGATTTTTGGTCCAGGCCTGATTCCCGAGAAGGCCAGAGTCCTCTGCTGGGTGACAGCTGCTCCACAGGCTCTGGGAAGCTTCCACAAGCTCAGGCTGGGCCTGGCTCTAGAAGAAGTCTGAGGCTTTGCGGCGGGCAGGGAGCTGTAGTAAGTTGTCTGTGATGGAGGTTGGGTCCTGATTGAGAGGGGTGCGTGAGGCAGAGCCCGGAGCTGGTGTGCTCGTGGGGGTTTGGGGCCCACCAGCTGGGGTCTTGAGGTGGGTGGAGTGTGCTGGAGATGGTGTATAGCTGGCCCGCAGGGCCCGGTCTGTGTACTTGCTGGCCGTCCTACTGACGAGGCGCTGCAGGGCTGGGGACATGGCTGGGCTGAGGCCTTTGGGAGTGAGGCTGGGTGGGAGAGAGAAACAGGATTAGATGGCACCAGGTACCAAACAAGACACATGGGAGATGCACGGTCATTCTGGGCTGATGACCAGGGGCAGTGTGGCACACACCAGTGAGGCCCAACATGAGGTCAGGTGGTGGGGCCACTCTTGGCTCTGGGGCTGAGTTGGACACCAACTTTCTCCAAGGGACATGGGGCTGAGTTGGACACCAACTTTCTCCAAGGGACATGGTGTCCTCAAGGCGCCCTCAGAGAGGAAACTGAAGGAGCTGGAGAGGGGTCCTGGCTCACAAGGTGCCGTGCTCTGGATCCAAGAGCTCCCATGGGACCCACCACAGAATCACTCAGAGGTGCCCTGCACTCCGTTCTGCAGGCTGTGTGTCCACAATTTAGGGGGTTAAGGCCAGCGGAAGGAAGGAGGGACCCTCTCCCACTGTCCACAGGTCAGGCCACCCTCACCTGGCCAGATTCTCCGTCACTCTCCGAAGGGCTTCCTGCTTCTTGGCTCGGTTCTTGGCAGCAGCCTCATTGGCCATCTTCAGTCCCAGTCGCTCCCTGCGGCCTGGTTCCAAAATCTAAAAGGCAGCAGGCATGTGGGGGGCCTTCACCCAGCCAGTACTTCACCGGCTGGGGTGCCTGCCTTTGCTTGTGGCTTCCACAACCCTCTTGCACCTGCCCCCTCTCCACCCCACCTTCCCTGAAGGTCACTAGTTAGCCTACCTACGCTGCCTGCCAGTCCTCATGCTCCTCCCAAAGCTGGCACTGCTGAGATAGGAGCTTCTGACAATCTTTTGGAAGAGTCTTGTTAAATCTGTTTCTCTCTGATTACTAGAAGGAATTGCTTTCTTTACTACCTTGCCTATTTCTTTCAAGGGCTGGAAATAAGTCCTAGGCCAATTTTTCCATTGAGGTATTTATTTAGGCTTTTTGATTCTCCACTTTTGCCTGTGTCAGATATGCAAAGTTATGACACATTTCTTTCTTTCTTTTTTTTTTTTTTAACAATTTATTCATTCATGCCTACAGAATTGGGGAACAGGCCAGAAGTATGGTAGGTGAGCAGATTCACCAGAGACAAAGTAGGGAGCAGAGGAGGCAGATTGACAAAGTACACTGCTGAGGGTAACAGCGGGCGTGTCAGAAAATATCTGCCAGCCATGTGGGTCAACTCCCTGGCCAGGGATCGAACTCATGCTGCAGAGGCTTCAGAGAGCTTCATAATGCGGTGCTTGAACCCATTGCACCAACAGGGAGATTCCACATGACAAACATTTCTTTTCAGCTATTTGCTATTAGGTTTTAGTTTTATGATATTTTTTGCTGTCATTTATCATTTTCACTTATTTTAATTGAGCTACTACTTCCTTTGTAATTTCTCCCTGTTTTTGTGTTTAGAAAGTCCTTCCTATGCTAAAATCAGGTTAAGTAAGGCTTGGTGGCCTAGGGGATAAGCCTTATCACTGTCATCCCATAGCTTGAGTTTGATCCCTGCCAGGGAGGTAACCCACATATGGCGCAGCAGACCTCTCCTGTCTCACCTGTATTTCAGTAAATCTGCCTATTCTGCTTCCCACTTATCTCTGGTGAGTTCTCGTACCCCCTGCACCTCTGGCCTTAACCCTAGTTCCTACGCAAAACTAAACTGAAAAAAAAAAAAAAGTCAAATTAAGTAGTAACTACTGTTTCCAGCAACTACTGTTGCTTTTATATTTAACTTTTCCAAATTTGTGGAATTTCTTGGAAGATCTGGCTTACTTTTTTCTGAACACTGTTCAGCCATCTGAGTATTTAAATTGCCATCTCTAACACATCCTAAATGCCAACTTGGTCTCAGGTCTGGTCCAGAGTCTTTTCCTGCTGACCTGAGGTTCTAGGAAAAGCGACACCCTCCTGACACATCCTTAGTGTCCCGATGCAACAGCACCTGAGAGCACAGGCTCTCCCCATCACCCCTTTGTTATCCTTGCATCACAGACACATTTTAACACCAAGGAACTAAAAACCTCTATACGTGTTCCGTGGAGATGTGTTTCCTCTCTTAACTATTGATACTACAGAAGTGGGGCCTGGGCTGAGGTCCTGGGCTCCCTCCATCCCTCAGGCAGGCCACCCCTCACATTGGAGCAGGCCTGTCCTCCAGCACTCCAGACTCAGAGGAGCTGACTTACTCTCCAGCTTGGTGCCCTGCCCCCTAAACACATTCCCTTCCGGAAAGGCCTGCCCACACCTGTCCTTACTGCTCTGGCTCCAACTACAAACACAGCACCTGCACAGGTGTGCAGCCTGGCTTGTGGCTTGGCCCAACCCAGTAGTGGTCTCTGCTTTGACCAGTGGTTGGGTGATCCTCCGGGCACTAAGCCACAGGCCTTCAGCCACGCGTCCACTAAGGATCCCACCCATGCTCTTCCTCAGCCCAGGCCAGCACTGAGCTGGACAGTGTCAGAGGGGCATGACCCACCTTGAAAGCTGGTCCAGGTGTCCTATCCACATAGGGGGTTTCTGATCCTTCCACTCTCAAGGGTGTATTCTCGACTTCTCCCCAGGTCATCAGTGGGGACTCATTCACACCTGTCAATGGAGGATACAAAGCCACTTTAAGCCAGGGGACCCAAATGAAAGCACTGCCCAAAGTCTCCCTTGCACCACAGCCAATTCCCTCAGTGTGTCCGAGCTAAAACCACCAAGGCAGGCAGCTGGCCCTCCCTTCTTCCCTGGGACTCCAAAGCCTTGGGACTTCGCTCTCCCAGAGGGAAACAAGGTCACTATGAGCCAAAGCAGGCTACTGCACAATGCAGTAGCAGTGAGCTGGAGGCAGGAGCTCCACAGAGAAGCAGGACTGGGTCACCTAGAACCTCACTAGCACAGGGCCAGAATTCGTGAATCACGGGTAGTATGCCATCCCTCAGAGCTCCCACACCTCCCTAGACACCTCCAAATGCTCCTCCTATGGCATCTCCAAATGCTCTGGCCTGTGGCATAGCAGCCAGCACCCCAGAGCACAGACACCAAAGCACAGGAGAAAGAGGAACACAGTGTGTACCAGGAGACCATCACTGGCTTTCGTGTATCTCCCTATGAGGAGACATCAGGCTGCACCCGGGACTCCTCCTTACAGTGTTCTCCAGATTTAGGAATCAAGACTCAGAACTAGGAAACATTATCCCAGGACTGACGGGGACACAAAGCTCTAGTCCAGCAAGCAGCAGGAGATGGACAAGCAGAGGGAAGGGTATATACAGGGCTTACAGTACCCCTCAGGCCTGACTTCTTATCTTACAAAAACCTGGGCCCCTAGGTACACCCAGCTGGGCTTTTGTGTACCGCATCTACTTGAAAAGATACCCACCAGGCAGTCAACTATAGCAAATTGCCCTTACTGCAAGTAAGAACACAGGCCTGGCCTACCCCTAAAGCCCTCAGCATGCTCAGCACAGCCAGTATGGTCCAGGAGAGCTGCAAAATCCCTGGCTCCCAGCAAACTCAGATTGTCCCACTGAGTTTAACTAGGGTGATGCTGGAAGACCACCCAACTAAACAGTTTTGGTCTCACACATCTCAGTTAAAGTCTTTCTGAGAGTCCAGCCTGCCATGGTCCCTGCTGGCCTCGTCATTGCACAGGGTCCCCATATGCATAAAAGGTATTTGGCAGGCCTAGAGGAGCGCTAGGAGTGGCTGAGGTTGACAGCCCAACCCACCTCCCCCAGGCAGGCCAGTCAGAGGGGGTCAAGCTAGCCAGTGGGCATATTTCTCACCAGGCGCAGGAGAAGGAGTGGCAACAAATCCAAATCCACCCACTCGGGGGGATTCTTGGGGTATCAGCTCCTTGCCATCGGGGCCCACCTTCCCCTGTTTGTTCTGAAACAAGCAGAGAGACAGTGTCAGAGGGACAGAGCCTCTCTCCCCAGCTGGCTGATGGGCAAATGCACAGGAACACACTTCACCTCCTTAAAGCAGAGCCAGGGCTCTGGTGCTGACAATCCCCTGGAGAAAGAGGGGAAACGCCAGCTCTTGCAAAGACCTTGAAGATCTGTGATAATGGGCATACCAGTGAGGGAAACTCCCCCTCCTTCCATCCAGGGAAGTGTCCAGACCCTTAGGCCACACCCCATATAGGTTCTTTCAGGCTCTAATGATTTAAGGACCTTGTAAGGAGTTACTCTAATTAGGGGAGTCTCTTCCCACAAAGCCTCTGTAAGAGCCTTCAAAAGTCTCTCCACTTCCTGCCTCTCCCCCTTCAAACTCACGCCCTCCAAAATCACTGTCACCCAGTAACTACTGTCTTGCTCCTAGGCTCGGAGATCTCTGCTCTTTGTCATAACCACCTCTCTCACACCCCAGGTGCATGGTGTGAAGTCTGACCAGATTGGATTGGGCCCCAGAAATCTTTCTTCTCTCATGTCCTTGCCCCCAAGGGAAATGTCTCAGATCTGTACCCACAGAAACGTGTCTGACCAAGAAAATGCCCCAATGGAAGCTCACATGGATTAAGAAAAGACTCGGGATCCTGCCACACAGAACTCCAAATATCCTCCCACTATTGAGCTCCACCAGAGTCAAAAAGAGTACTAATTTAAGAAGTGAGAGGCAATACCAGAGATCAAATACCTGCCCAGAGACAGTTCTGACCAGCCCACACCACTAACCTGGGCATTGAGGGCGGCAGCCTGCTGCAACTGGGACCTGCTCAGGGCCTGGCTGAAGGGGTCTCTGAGGAAGCGAGTGTTCTTATGCACCACCTGCCGGGGCTTCTTAAACAGCTGTTCTTCATCAGGGACACCTGGTGAATTGAAGAGAGATGGCAGCAGGTGCCAAAGGGGTGCAGACCCCACCTGGTCCCCAATTCACTCTCTGCTCAACAGAAGCCTGGAGCTTAGAACTTAGAAGCATGGGGTTCAGTCTCCACATGGCAGAACCTGAAGGAAACTGGAGGCCTTACTCCCTTACTGACATCACACATAGACTCACCTGCCCCAAGACAGACCAGAACCCTCCAAGATCCAGAATGGAAGGGAACACACACACACACACACACACACACACACACACACACACACACGAAGGCCAGACACAGACATACACAGACATAACTCTTATCTTCCTGCCCACTCACCCTCTGGGTAGTACATGAGGGAGTTTTTGGCCTTGTACTTCCAGGTTTCCACACCAGACTGCTTGCTCTCAATGGCTTGGTGCTCTGCTGATGGGAGTGTGAGATTATCTTTCTGCCTCTGTAGCACAAACGGAAAGTGAGAGTCAGAGAGGCCCTCAGGCACTGTTGGCCCAGGACCTCCCCCATCCTGATAGAGTGACCATGCCCCTGTACCCAGGGACACCTTCTCAAACTCCTCTTCAGCTTGGTAGAGCCACGAGTGCCGGGCCCGATTCTTCTCCTTGGCCACCTCCATGATCTCCTGGAAGGAAGCATTGTCCTCACTTGTGTACCGGCTCAGGAAGACATCCAGGTTAGGTAGGGGCTCTTTCTCCTCCTCTTCTGCTGCCTCTCCTGCTTAGGGATACATATGGGGTGTCACAAAACCATCAATAGCATAAACACCCCTTGGCAGTCAGTTGGTCCCAGAAGCCATACCACCCCAGACACAGGATTGGAACCCTTACCTCTTATCCTGGGGCTATCTGTGAGGGCCCACAATGCCAGATCACTCTCAGGCTGGGGACAGCACCAACCTCCCCCCACAACTGCCCAGAGAGTCTGCAGGGGCACTCATCTGAGTTGATCAATGCCAAGGGAAGTATGTGATCCAATACAGATCATAAAAGGGGGCATCTGATATTAGAACAGGAGCAGGTGCCCATAGCTGGTCTGTGTCACCAAACTGGACCACTCCTATTGGCCTGACTCCTGGGCTGGTTCTCTGGGGATTCCTCTCCTTTTTTGTATCTGTGGATGGCTGTCACCTAAGCCTCCCAAAGCTGCTACCAGTCTTGATGGCAGGATCAAGTGTTCCAAATGGGGCCTCACAGGCCCTGGGCCACAACCTGTGGCCCAGGACAGCACTGTGCATGAAGATTTAGCAGGAGAATCTTTTCCCCCATTCTAGTTAGAGCTTTGACCACATTTTACTTGCTACATTGTGTGCATAAAGCACCATGGTCAAGTTTAAGACCTAGGACCAGAAAGCTAGGACCCCAATGCCATTCCACCACCAACCAGCTCTGAGACCAGCAGAAGTTACTGCCTTCTGAAGTGCAGGTTTCCTCACCTGTGAATGTGAATGAGAGTAGTACCTACTATGGTATTTAAAGAAACCTTGTGTTCACTGACATGTAAGGTGTATTTAAAAGGAAAACAACCTCAAGTTGCCTCATGATTCACATGCCACAGTACAATGGAGAGTCAAGTGCTGAGAACACACTGCAACACACTATGTTAATGACAGGAAAAGAGGGGCTTTGAAACAAAAACATCATGCTTGTGTGAACACATAGGAAACATCTGTCGGCATGGCACATCATAGATTAGAACCTAGTAGAGAAGAACATCTCATTTGTTTTTCAGTGCACCGCCGTTCTCCTGATGAAAACAATGACAATGACAAAGTCTTGTTGTAGCGTGTGGCACACTTACATTCAACAGAGTTCAGAATGTTCCTTTCTAGAAAGAGCCCCCTATAAAGTCAGAATATTCACCCTGTGAATATAGTATAGTGCATTCATTTGTACTAAATGTTCATCTGTGGAGTCAATGGCAAGACATGCCATGCCCTGTTCTAGACAGAGTGTGCAGACTGGAGCAAGGCAAACAATCTGCACAAATGCCTTCTTACGTGTCATGTCCTACAGAGAGAACACAAGCAAAAAGATGGGGTGATGTGACTTTCCACTAAATGAGGAAAGGGTTTATAGAGCATGAGCAAAAACCTTAAGGAAGAGAGTGGGCTACACAATTATCCTGAGGATGTGATCAACTCAGAAGAAAAACAGAGGTCCTGATGCACCTTAAGGAGACAGAAAGGAAAGTCTTCTGAGATCCACAAAGTGTATTGGCAGTAAGCAGGCTAAGTCAAACTGTCATCTGGACACCCCTGTCTCTCATTCCTCCAATACACAGGCTAGTGGTGAGAGCTTCATTTGACAGAGAAGAACCAGAGGCTCAAAGGACTGCCCAATGTCTGGGAGCTAGACCCTGATCTTCTGCCTTCCCCTTCCCACCCCAGACTAGTACTCTTTGATCCCACAGACTGCCAGTTAGGCAAGGAAACCCCTTAGGGTCAATATGTGACCTGCCTCTGAACCACTCAGTCAGGGTCTTACAAGGTGAGATACCTAAGCAACCCCAATCAGGCAACAGAAAGAGGGCAATCACTCACCATCACCATCCTCCAGGCCTCGGCCCCTTGGCCTGGACTTGTTGCCTACCATACCAGTGCCTGTATGCACATCAGGGGTTTCAAATGTGGCTGGAGTCACATCTAGAGGAAAGTAAGGAGTAGGGATTAAAGCAAGCCTGAGGCAACAATTCATCAGACAGTCTTCTCTGTCACCTTCTTACAGGGTGGAGGGGGCTCTCGGGACATTTTTCCTAAGGCAGAGCCAAACTTGATGGCAATCTGGCGCATCCGTTCCAGGTCTCCATTCTCCTCAGCCTCCAGGTATTCTTTCTGTGCCTGTAGCTTCTCCACATCAGGAAAGAAGTCCCTCTGGATAACAGTCTGGAGGCCCTGTAGAAGAGAGCAGAATGAAAGGTCAAACTGCCATCTGGACACCCCTGTCTCTCACTCCTCCAATACACATGCTCAGGTCCCTGCTGACTGCAATTCCGCCCCCCCCCCCAGGGCCAAATTCTCTCTGTCCCCATAGTCAAAGGCACCTTCTAACAAGTATGACCAATGGCTTTTCCACAACACTGAACATTACTAAGTGCTCTTCTTACTTTCAAGAAACTCTTCTCTCTTCCCTCACTAACTGGTCATTCTCATTCTCTTTTGTTGACCCCATGTCCATATCAGCTGAATCAAAATAGATGCTGCCATCTTTATTCCACCTCCTATTCATAATATGAACTGGGGTCTCCTTGTCACTCCACCACCGGTTGAGATTGTGTCACTGCACTTCCAGTAAGACCTTGTTCCTGAGCCGATCATCTGTGATTCTAGCTTTCCCGGAATATCACCTCAAGTTGTAGACTTCTCAAGTTCAATCAAGCTGACCTCATTTTTTGGGGTCAACTCACTCAATGAAGCCACCTCAAACACTAGCCTTTCCACTTGCTGTACCACTTCCTAGAAAATCCTTCCGGGCTGTTAAACTCCTACTCACGTTTTGCTAGAGAACCCTGCCTCCCCGACATCACATACAGTGCAGCCCTTCCCTCTCCTGACAATGTCATGGCCTCCCCAACAAAGACTCCGCCCTCGGCACGGTGCTTATTTGGCTCTACGAGTGATCACACTACAGGGGCAGAAACTCGGGAGGCTCCAGCTTCGCGAGAGGAACCCAACCCGCGAGGGACCCGCGAGAAGCGCGAGGCGAGATCCAGAAGTCTCTGGCGTCCGCACTGACGTCTTACCTCGATGTACTCTTCCTCGTCCAGGATCCGCTGCTTGTTTGTCGCAACCGCAGCTTCCCCGGCTGCGCGCTTTCTCCGGGACCCCGGCGCAGCTGAGAGCAAAAGCGCCCGGGTGGACGCGCCAGGTGTCTCCATAGCTATCCCAGGACCACCCGAGGTGCGGAGGTACGTTCCAGGGCAGAGGGGCAGACTGCGCCCACTGCGCAGGCGCCTCAAACAGTCACCCAATTGGGGAGCAGAGTGTTTCGAAGGCACGCCCGCAGGCCGTTCTGACGTCACCACGTGCCCGTACCGTTTATGGGAGTTGTAGTCTTCGCCCCACGTTGGTCAGGCGTGTCAGAGCTGTGGACGCCAGGGGGCACTATATTGGGGGGAAATATCGGGCGTGTTCTTCATGCCAATGGTGAAAAAAATTCCAGCACCACAGAATAGAAGGCCTCCAAATTGCGATTTCTCACTAATAATCACTTATATATGCTTCTATATTATTAATAAAAACACACTCTTCAGAAAATGTGGTTATGTGCGTGTTTCAAAGTTTTTATTCAAATTTTATGTTAGGAAAGAACCCAAAGACAACTATCTTCCTTGATAGTTGTCTAACAAAAGAAAAAAGAAGAGAAATAAAAATACCATTACTCAATAAAGAAATATCTGGCTAAAAATCTTAGGTCTCTGAGTCCCATATTAGGGCTAATTCTCATTGAAGTGGACCAGAAAATTGTCTACACATTTTTCAGAAATTATTTCCTTCCAAGGAGAGGTTGTGAATGAAGACAAATAAATTTGATTCAGGAAGAAAAGGAAAATATTGGATGGTTTCACTTACAGGAGGAATATAGGGAAACCAAATAAGGGACTTTGGAAAAATAATAACAATTAAAAACAGAAACAATACAAATACTAATACTAATTTCACTTAGGGGGCAATCAGGGGAAATTTTCCCAGGTAGAAAGTGGTTGCAAAACTAAACAAAAACAATCAGACAACTATGAATCACAGACATTCTGCAGGGGAGGATAAAAAACGAGGAGAGGGTAAAAAATGAGGGCCGGAAGAGCATAAGGGACTAAGGTGGTGGTGCTCAGGTGAATTGGTGGAAGAAATTCTATGGAACAATGCCTGATGTAAAATTTATACAAATAAAGAAATCAAATAATAAGTTTGAATAAGTAAGAATGATTTAGTATAAAAGGCAGACAATTCTTCATTCACTGGTGATGGTTCCTGCCCTCCTGTTGCTGACAGTCAAATGGAGAATAGATGCTAATTAGGCCATCTGACAAAAAACAAAATTGCAGCTGACAGGTGCAAGAGATTGGGAATCTCACTTAGGGGGCAATCAGGGGGAATTTTCCCAGGAAGAAAGTGGTTGCAAAAGATTAGCATACATTGATCAGCTGCAGAGGGAAGAGTATGGGCAAAGAAAGGCCCAGCAACAAGAGATACACAGAATGCAAGGAGCAGTGAGGTGGATATAAGCAAGAAAGGCCTGGTGGGTCTTGGTGAGAACATTTGTCTTTTACTTTAGTGGCAATCCAGCAATCCCTTGGAATTCTGTAGGCAGGAGGAAAGGTAGACTTGCACCCTGACAACTGTCATCTATGGAGAATGAAATAAAAAGGAGCCAGAGTGGGTTCAGGTGAAGTGAGAGACAATAGTTTTCATCAGGTTGATACAGTTAAAGCTGGGGAAAATATAGATTCTGGACTAGGTTTTACATGTAAAATCAACTTGCTGTTGGCCTGCATATAGCAGTGGAGGCAGAAGAGGAGTCGGGGTGAGGCCAGTTCTCTGGCTCAAGCACCAGGTTTGTAGCAGGGAAGAGCTTGCTGTGGATGAGGTGGCTTCATCAAGGGGAGAGATGGACATAAATATCTAACTCAGGTGAGACCTGGGTTGGAGATGCAAATGTCCAGAGAGCTGGGAACTGGAGTCTGAGCATGAAAGTGATAAACCAGGGAATGGATAGAAATGAGAGGGGAGTACAGGGGACTCACACTGAAGGACAGACACCTATATTAACAGCCAGCAGTGGAGACGGGCTTGCCAAAGGAGCAGCTAGAAAGGACAGAGATAATCAGTAGGGCAGCATAACTGTTGGTCACTTGAAGGTGGAGGATGACTGCTTAGTGATGAGAAGCCATTCAGCTAGGGAGAGTGAGGGTCCCAGAATCCAGGGACATGAGGGTGGTCCAGTCTGCGGAGGAACTGTACAAATGGACGTGCATTCTCCAAGGACAGTCAGGATTCAGGGAGCTAAGTGAAAGGCGGAAGGGGTGGAGGTGAGGGCTGCTATCCTGGAGGCCCCACCAGTGTTAGGGTGGCCCTGACTTGGGACACCATGCCTGCTGGGTGCAATTTGCACTGGAAAGCTGTGCTCCTGGCTTAGATAATTTCTATGGATGGGATTATGTGTCTGCCAGTAACCCCTGCAATTCCCTCCAGGATCTTTGAGGGGGCAGAAGAAGGTCCTCAAGTCAGATGAGGGGGATGTTAGGTCCCTTGAACCCAGGCCTGCTTTGGGAATCAAAACCTTGTTTTCACACTATCCTTCACCCTGCAGCTAGGACATTGATGATGAGAGCAGACAGAATCCAATCCCAGGCCATCCCCCACAGGATGGCAGAGACAGACTGCTAGAAGGGAGGACAAAAAAAAAAAAAAAAGGAAAAAAGGATGCCCATCTATGAATTAGGTTGGGAGCGTCAAAAGGTGAGTGTTGGCCCCAAAGGTGCCATCTATGGGCAGTCTGGTTTAACCAAATGTCTCCTGGGCACAAGGACTGCACTCAGTGGGCTGTGTTCCCAAAGACAAGGTTCACAGGATGAAGGAGTTGGGAAGAGGGATCCTGGAGACAACCTCATCCATACTTCTATTTCTACAGGCTGGGACCCAAGGTCCAGTGTGTAACCTGAGAGGTGGAGGCAGCCCCAGGATGCAGATACACCCACTCTGCCTTGGGAAGCCAGGTCAGGGGGCTATGAGAGGGAAGAGATGAGGGTGTGGGTGGGGTGGGAAGAAGCGAGCATGCTCTGGGAGGGAGAGCAGTCTCAATCCCCTTATTGGCAAGGGGAGGTCCAGTCCTGGGGTGTGGTGGGGAGTTGAGGAGCTGATTGCTCCGTGCTGGGGCTCCACTCACTTCCCAATGCCCCACCCTCACTGGCCACTGAGGAAGAGAGCACACACTGCTGTTCTGCGTCCCCTCTTCAGTGGAGCAGCTGTTCTCAGCAAAGGAGCTCGGAGTTGGGCACTGGCTCCAGGGTGTGGGCAGCTGCACACAGGGGAATAGGCTGGCGTCTTCTCCCAGTTCCTTTGAGTAGGTCTGTCCTCTGTCTAAGATAGCCCCACGGGATTTGGTCCAGCCCAGGAGTAGCTCCCAGGGCCATCAGCAGCTCTCCTTGGGGGGCTTCTTAGCTCCATGCAGGAGCCTCGCAGACACTGATGCACGCCTCTGGTGTCGCCACTTGGCCCTACGGTTCTTGAACCAGACCTGAGGAGGAGGGATTGTTCAGGACCAGCTCTGGGACCCAACTCTCTCCGGGTTCCCATAGGTGTACCGGATTGCACCACACTGTTCTCTTGCCCCCTGCAGATAGAGACTTGGCTCCCGCCGGTCAACCGAATCTCTTCCCACTCCCCCACCTCCGCTTGCCCCTCCGCTTGCCGCCTCCTCTATGACTTTGTCAGGCTTCCAGGCTTCCCAAATTAGGAACATGAATGCACAACTTATTTCGCACGGGGAGGGCGAGGCGGAGGTGGGGATGTAGGGGGAGAAGGGAAGTTCAAAACAAAGAGAAAGAAGCAGCTAGCCTTGCCACCCCTCCAATTCCCGCAGCACGTGCCGATCCCCGCCCGCCCTTAGCCCCGGGAACTGGCCCTGCGCCCCACAGCAATGCTGAGGCCTCCTGTACCACCGCCGTCTTTCTAAAAGGAAGAAGACGGGACGCCCGCCCGCCAGTGGGCACGACACCCACCTCCACGCGCTCCTCGCGCAGGCGAATGCGGCCGGCCAGGCGCTCGCGCGTGCCCACGTCGGGGTACTGGTTCTGCACGAAGAGCGCCTCCAGGGCCTGCAACTGCTCCTCGCTGAAGATGGTGCGGTGGCGCCGCGTGCGCCGCTGAGGGCCGGGGCTGTCCGCGCTGGGCAGCGCCCTGGAGCCTTCGGTCTGTGTTGCCAACGGCAAAGGTGCGGCGGGTCCCAGCCTCAGTGGCCACGGCAGCCGAGCGCCTGCGGGGCGAAGGCGCTGTGAGGCGCGAGGTGGGAGCTAGCTTCACAACCGACAGCATCCTGACCGGGGTCCCCCATGCCCGCTCCCCTCGCCCACTCACCCAGCCCTGCGGCGGGCTCCGGGGGGCCGCGGGACGCCGCATGGGGACCGCAGCAGCAGCAGCAGGCGCAGGACGCGGCCTCGG